CTTTTTTTTTTTTTTTTACATTTTGGCCACAACAAGAGTATTTTTGTTTCACATGCATTCCTACCATAATGTGCTGCTGTCACCAGGATAAAAGCAATGTGGCTAAGTGACCACAGACTGGAATCTCTGAAACTATGAGCCCAAATAAACTATTTCTTTTTATAAGCTGATTGCTTTGGGTATAGTATTATGTTATAGTAAAGGAAAGCTGACTACTAACAGAAAATTTGTACTGAGAAGTGAGTCATTGTTATGACTACACCTGACAATGTGGAAAAGCCTTTGGAAGTGGTTTATGGGAGGAGTTTGGAGAAATAGGCTAAAGAAACCCTAGAAATTTAATGGGTAATTCTGATGAGGGATAAGAGAACAGAACGCTGAGAATATGGACAGAAAAGGTCATGCTGATGAGGTTTCAGATGGAAATAAGGATACTTTTGGACACTGGACTGAAGTTCACCCTCAATACACTGCAGCAAAGAACCTGGATGCACTTTGTCCATGCTCTGAGATGGTGTGAGAAGCTGAGCTTAAAGGCAATGGAATGTTCTTGTGGAGGAAATTTCAAGGCAGAATAGCATTCAAGCTTAAGCATGGGTATCACTGCTCTTTACCCAAATTTATAGTGAGATTTGAGAGCAGAGAGGAGCAGAGCAGAATGATTTGAAGAATCTGCACACTGGCAAGAAAAACTGAAGCCAGTGGAGATTAGCATCATGAAGATGAAGCCAAGTACTTTGTTCCAGGACAAGAGGGTAGGAATATCAGGAATCTGCAAGCCCACCCATCTCTCACAGACTGAACAGTGTGCAGATATGAATTTGTTTCAAAGACTTCACTGAGAAAAGAGCCCTCGGTTGTTCTGCATGCCCGGAAGTGCCCAACGACTCATTTTTCCACGTTCAATCAGTGAGGCAGAGGCTGCTGTAGCCAAGGTTTAAGCAGGTTCAAGTATAGCCCGTGCTGGTGGCAGACCACGTGTCACCCATGTGGGGCTGGTTTTGCAGACATGCAGAATGGAAGAGTTATGCAGTAGCAGAGCTTTCACTCAGATCTCTAAGGAAAGTGCATGACTCTCTGCAAGGATCCTCTGACAAGGCAATGTGTGGAGCTTTGCAAGTGGAGGCAAAGCTACAGTGGAGAACAAAGGACAAAGTCAGCAATGCCGAACATCTGCTGAAGGAAGTCGCAGGCAGTGTTGGAAAGCCACCCCAGAACTGGCTGTTTGATCTATGCTCAACAAAAGCACAGGGCAGGGCTTCTTAAGCCCTTTGGAGTCCACATATAATGATACTGTGTCCTAGAGACTGGACATGAAATAAAAGATCTAGTATTTGCCCTGTTATGTTTTGGTTTTCCTTTGGTCTGATCCTCCTATATCTTGAGTCTTTCCTTTTGGATTAAGACTGTTTACCCTGTGTCTGTCCCACCATTATATATGGGAGGCATAGAACTTTTTGACTTTTATAGAATATCACAGCTGAGTTTGTCTTGCACTGTAAACTTTGGATTTGGACTTCTGATTAAGGCTAAAATACGTTTTGGAATCCCAAGGACAGACTATATAAATGCACTTCTGTACTGTGAGGTGGGTATGAACCTCTGGGGGTCACGGCAGAATGCTAGTTTGGATCTTATGTGTTCCAAAAGGCCATGTGGTAAAAGGGTGCTCACCAAAGGAGTGCTACTGGGAAGTGGTGGAGCCTTTAAGTGAGGACCAGTGTGAGGTCTTTAAACAATTGTTGAGTGGGGCCTTGAAGGGGACTGGAGGACCCCAGTGTCTTTTCTTTTTGCCTTTCTTGCTTCTTGGCCATATAGTGAGTGGTTTTGCGTTACCATGTGCTACTGCTGAGGTACTTCATAGCCACAGGCCTAAAAGCAATGGAGCCAACCAATTATGGACCAGAACCTCTGAAACCCTGAGCCAAATAAAACTTTTCTCTTTTTAAATTGATTATCTCAGGTGTTTGTTATAGCAATGGGAGATAACTAAGTGTCTACTCCCAAATACACCACTGGTTTAATCAGACCTTCCCACTGCTCCACTGCAGGGAATGAACTCCAACAGCTTTTCTTCTTGAAACATGGACTGGCTCATTTCATATCTGGGCCCTGCACTATGCATGGCACACTGTCCCCACACAGTAACAATGGTAACGGTCTCACTAACTGTTGAGAATACTAATTTGTAAGCTCCAGGTCTACATTTTTGCTCCCGTTTTGAATACCACTGAAAAAAAGTCTCTTTAAAAGTATTTCTTTATATTTCAAGAGTTGTGTGACTATCATTTTGTAATTCTAAGGTCATATTCGAGTAAATCTTAAAGGTATTTTATGAAAGATGTACTTTATTAAAATGTCTGAACTACAATGAGATGAAGTGTGCCTGCCCTGCCATTGTATCTGGGAAACCATTTTTTGACTCTTGCAGGATATTACAGCTGATTTTGCCTTGCATCTCAAGAAAGAATTGTACTTTCAGCAATGCTAAAACAGTTAGGTTTGGGATTCTTGAGGATGGACTAAATGCATTTTGCACTGTGAGGTGTATGTGAATCTTTGGGAGCCAGGGAAGAATGCTTGAATTTGGGTCTCAGGTGTCCCACAAAGGTCCACGTAGCAAAGGGTCTTCCCAGAACTCCCCCAACGGCTGGCCACACAATAAGCTGACAGTATCTACATCCAGTCAACAAAAGCCTTTACAGTACATTCATTTTATAAAAATCCCCTAAATGGAGAAGTGTAGCATCTGATGTCTGAACGTAAGTCAGTAGCAAACAGATAACTTAACTATATAACCTGAAGCGTTCTTCAAACTGTGTTCTCTGATTAGTGTGCCATGAAATCAATCCAGTGGATGAATTAAAGTGAGCGTGCGCACACACACACACACACACACACACACTCATACTCCTAGAAAAGAAAAATATCAATGTATACTGCTTTAAGGGTATATATTATTTCATAAACCTTTTATTTCAATCACACATATGCATAAATACATATGTATATCATGATATAAAATATATTTCACAGTTCTCTGGGATAAAAGATTACCTTAAAGAAAAACATACCAGGTCATTCCAGCTCTTGAGAAAAAGACACTTTGGTTTTTTTGGTATGTGTATGTTTCACTTCTAAGTGATGGTTTTATATCCTAGACAGTCCCAAGTCCCTTTTCTAATAGTGATCTCTGACCACAGCTTGACTCACTGCCATTTTATGGATGACTGCTTCCTCCTGCCATAACCGTGAGCTTCACTGAGGGAAAACTTGCAAGAGTTCATCTGAATGTGGATCAGAACCAGCCTCAGGTCCCTGCCTTTGTTGAGTCAGGCATGATGCCCAGGGCTTCCTATATACACCTCTTTATAGATATGATCTCCTTGCTTTTACTGGTAGCTGAATCTCACCTAAACAGTTGGGGTTTGCACAAAATATAGGGGTGAATGTTTCAAAAGGAATGAATTCAACAATAGCACATTCCAGTTTGGATATGAGCCATATAAATTAATTCAACAAAATATTAGTTCCAAACTAAATATTTACTCATTTCTTTTTACTTAATACCAAAGTAATATATAGGGCTTTACTTGCATTGAATAAAATCCCAATAGTTGCATAAAAAAAGTTGAAGCATTGGTATCTGTGGCTAATGGTAAAAATCCTATTACTTTAGCATCATGTTTCATATAGTTATAACATTAACCTTTGATTTTTTTTTTTTTTTGGTACCAGGGATTGAACTCAGGACCTTGAGAGGCACGTGGCAGCACTGCTGAGCTAAATCCTCAGTGCTAACCTTTGATTTTGAGCTACTATAAATTACCATTTCAACACCACCATATATTCAGTACTAATTACAAATTTCACCTAGAATAACTTAATAATAGAATATGATGCCAAGGGAATAGGAAAACATTCATTTTCTAAATGTGTGCCAACATGTCAATAGACATCTGATTTGGGGGCATGATTTGACCTATGATTCAAATGCAACTTGGGAAAAAGAACCAAGGTTTTTAAACTGGAAGTATCCTTCCTTATGCTGACCTGGTTCAACCCCGTACTTTTTCATGTTAGGAAGTGGATACACATGAGGGCAGGTGACTTCTCTAAGGTCCTAACCCAGTAGGAGAGATACACCAGGTCTCTTGATAAAAAGTCTACAATATTTTTCATTTCATAACAAAAGTTTATACTTTAGTACAGTCAGATTTATAAGAGATCAAATTAGATATCAAGGTAAGCAAATTCATGATATTTTAGACTAAAAAAATCCTAAAGCAAAATTTAATAAAAATATATGTTGAAATGATGTTCAAGGTAATAGAATTAGTGGAATATAGTCCTGTCGACACTGAGAACAGTGATTCACTGGTATACAAATCCAATTATGTGTCTGTGTCACTCCTTTTGTGTACAGGTTGCATTTTCATCTGTGTCTCCTGGGTTAACTGTCTTCCACAAGAACTTCTCATTTGGTTTCCAGAGAGACAGCTCCAGTCCTTCTTTCCTTCTAGAAGAGGCTGCAGGGAGGGGTGCTTTTTCACACAGTGTTTCTATCACTGCCAAGTCAGTGAGTTTACTAAGACTGTCATCATTCTGCTCATTCAGGATGTCCCAGAAATCCTTTGGTCTCTGCTTTGCTTTCTCCTTGGGCTCTGAAAGAACTTTCTTTGGCAGTTCTGTGCAACTGTTCCCTTGACTTTTAAAGAGGTCATCAAGAATAGAAGTATCACCAAGTAAGCCTTCCATACAAGAGTTTTCTAATATTGGATTTTCTATCTTTCTGTTTTCCAATTTGAAAAGGTGTCCATTTCTTGAAATGGCTGTTCTTGTGAAGTCCAATCGGTCTTCTAGTGTATTCTCTAATGTGCTCTCCTGGGCCTTGGACTTCCTGTGCAGGAAGCGAGAGGCTACAGTGTCTCTGGATGTATGGCTGTTTTTCCCCCTGTCAATCTCTTGAGTAGAGCTAGTGGGTGATTTCTTAACTTCTGCATCATTAGAAAGTGTTTCTTCTCTACAGGAATCATGATCTCGAAACCTAACTAACTTTCCTTTATTTATTTTGGGGCTGTAAGTATGGGATAATTTGTTGGTAGACTCATTAAATGACAAAGTTTTAGAATTTGACAGCTTTTCTTTTATAAGAGGTTCTCTTTCTTTAGATTTCTTCTTGACTTTCCTTTCTTCGTTGTAGGCAGATGTGATTAACTCTGAAGCTGAATCCCCCAAAAATTCTTTTACCTCTGGATACTGAGAAACATAAAAACCTTTTAGCATTTTCTGTCGGTCTTCTGATGTAGCGTTAGTTACATGTTTAGCAAATTCCTTTACAGAAGGGAAGTTAAAGTAAGAGGCCATTTCTTCAAATTGTTTTCTAAAGAGAAAAATAAATAAAACCACTGGTTATTTTTATTACCTCTTATCTTTGAGGAACTCATAATCAATGATAGGAAAAGTAGAAGCAAAACTATGCAGTTTTGTTCCTTTAGCATATGTCTCCTTAATTCCATAATGAAAATGCTTTTATTCTAGAGAATTTGCTCCTTCTCCTTATGCTACTAAAAAAATTTTTTTAGCTCATGAAATCACTAGCTTTTTAAGTTATTCTGATTTATACTATTAGGTATTTCCTGGGAATTATGGGATCTCAGCATGCTTCTCCTCCAGTGAGCCAATTTATGACTGACACAAGAACCATAACTTATATAATTTGTATTTGAAAATCCATATTGCATTCAACTTCCATGAAATAAGTAAAAAAAGGGTTCTAAAAATTAATAAAGACATTTTTTTCTTCTCCCTCTTCTTTTTCCTTCCACAAATCCAACAGAAATTTCACAAGACTTTTTGAGGAGCCAAAAGGAAAGTTTTAAACTGATGAACCTAGATTCTTTTTCCCCAATTGGTCTGACTTCAGCATACAGCTGAGATTAGAAGTGAGATGTTATATGAAGAACTAAGTTATACTCTTAGTACAAGATACAAATAAAAGCTGTTATATTCATGTATGAGGAAATGGGCTTCCTGGAATCCTATTAAGATGGAGGCAGAAACATTATTTAAGTATCTTGGGCAATGTACTCTGTTCCTTTCCATATATAGGTGAAGGTACTATAAACTGAGTTGTGTTCCCCCCAAATGATGTTGAAGTACTAGTACCCAATGAGACAGTATTTGGAGACAAAGGTTTTAAGACAATTAAAGGTAAATGAGGTCATAAGGGTGGGGCCCTAATCCGACAGGAAGAAAGGTGAGGGAGCTAGCACAGGGTTTTCTTAAAAGGTTCCAGTTTTCACTGCACATGAAGTAATGAGATACTATCTTGTTTATTATCTTTCCCTTCTCCACTTCTCCTTCTTCTACTCTCTCTTCCTCTCTGCCATACTTGAGGACACAGTGAGAAGATGGGCCATCTGCAAGCCAAAAACTGAATTAGCTAGCACCTCCATCTTGGACTTCCCAGACCCCAGAAGAGTGAGAAATAAATTTCTGTAGATTAAGCCTCCCAGGCAGTAGTTTTTTTTATGGTACCGGGGATTGAACTTGGGTCCTTGCGCTTGCAAGGCAGGCCACCGAACCGCTGAGCTAAATCCCTGGCCCTGGCTGTAGTATTTTTTATAGTAGTCCAAGCAGACTAAGACAGAAGGTATTGCTTTGCTGATGTGAAATTTGCACAAGTCAGAGAAGTCCAATGTTGGTAAATACTTTTAGAGCCATAGTAATGCTGTTGTAGTACATGATTACAAGTCTCAAAGTTGTATTCATTCAGCAAACATTTCTTGAGCCCTGCTATGTGGTAGGTACCATGGTAGTAAGTATACAACAGTAAACAAGACCTAGTTCTGTATCTTCAGTTTCTAGTTTAGCTGAAAGAAACAAATACATGAGGACTTTACTGTGGTAAAGGTTATAAGTCCAGGGCCCAACTGAAGTTCACAGAAGGGCACCCAAGCCAGTGATCACTAGTAGGCAAAATGGGTAGTGGGGTGTTTTCCACTGCCACCTCAAGTCAGCCAGATAAATATGGTGAGGACATCTTCCAGGGAAAGGGGACATGTGCACCGGTCCAGTCTGGAGGGGACCTGGGGCATAGAAGGAAGGGGATCCTGCCAATAAAGAGGCTGATAACCCTAAGTGGTCTGTGTGCCCAGCTGAAGATTTTAAATTTCATCCTGTACATAGAATAGAAAATGATTTACTTCTACTGTAGGAGCTGGTCATATCAAGTCTTTGTTCTTTTTGGTGTCTGTGGTAGTCTGTAATGATGTGCGCTTTTTCTTTGTCATGGCTCCTGGTGCAGACCACAGTGTCTTGTTTAAGGTTCTAAATCCAAACCCTGGTCAACAGTCATACTGATCTCTAACAGAATACTTAGTAACACAACTACAAGCTCTAGGATTTCTGCCTTGAAAATCACCAATGTTCTTGTTGGAAAGCAAGCATGTTCTTAACAGGTTGCAGTTTTTACTTCAAATGAAGTAATAAGATATTATTTTGTTTATTAATCATCTTCAACTTCATTTCATGGCCTTCTAATAAATATTTGTGCTTGTAAAGATTTAGTGACTGGTAGGGTTACAAACTGATTTCTTTTATTTACCCAAGATGTGGTGGTGTCTAAGCCACTGCCACAGTAATGTCACTTGTGCTGTTATGACACCATGATCTCTCCATGACACTGCAGCCTGTCACCTTTGGGGGAAAAGCTGCTGCAAACTCTGCTGAACCTGCATAGCCTGCAAGTAAATTATGTCACATGGCTGCCCCTTATAGGATGGCTTATGATTAACATTCATTCTATTTAGGCCTTCTAATTCACTTTCCTCATTCTGGGATTGTTAAAGGAATTTTCTCTAAGAAAGTAAGAAACTGCAAGGTACAACCAGAAACAAAAGCTAGCCACTTTGTGAGGAAAACAGAGGAATCTAGAGTAAACTTCTGTCAGCCACTTTGGGAAAAAAAGGAAGGAAAAGAAACAAGCCAATGATAGGTATTCTTTAGCAAAGCTATCAAAAGGAGTTATATATGAAAGATAAAATTTAAAATCCCCTTTTATTGAGGAGCTGGGGTGGCACAGAGCTGCAACACTTTTCTGTGTCAGCTTTCTGAGGGATGGGAGCAGGGCTGAGCTCTGCTCCAGATAGTCATGTGGCCATATGGAGGTCCACAGCCTTCACTCTGGCCAACCAAGGAAGAAGGGAGACAAGAACTAATCCTTATACTTTAACAAAAATTAAAAAAAAAAAACATATTGCTAAAGGCAATGAAGACACATGGTCTCTTCAAAGACTGGTAACATGTATATGATCAGGCTCCTAGCAAAATAATTGCCCCCAGTGAAAAGGCACACTCTGCAAATATTCGCACTACAAATCTGACTGGTGTGAGTCTGTCTGGTGTGTGTGTGTGTGTGTGTGTGTGTGTGTGTGTGTGTGTGTGTGTGTGTGTGCGCGTGTGTGTGCGCCCCTGTGTGTGTGTGTGTGTGTGTGTGTGTGTACGTGTGTGTGCGCCCCCGTGTGTGTGTGTGTGTGTGTGTGTGTGTGCGCGCGTGTGTGCGCCCCTGTGTGTGTGTGTGTGTGTGTGTGTGTGTACGTGTGTGTGCGCCCCCGTGTGTGTGTGTGTGTGTGTGTGTGTGTGCGCGCGTGTGTGCGCCCCTGTGTGTGTGTGTGTGTGTGTGTGTGTGTACGTGTGTGTGCGCCCCCGTGTGTGTGTGTGTGTGTGTGTGTGTGTGCGCGCGTGTGTGCGCCCCTGTGTGTGTGTGTGTGTGTGTGTGTGTGTACGTGTGTGTGCGCCCCCGTGTGTGTGTGTGTGTGTGTGTGTGTGTGCGCGCGTGTGTGCGCCCCTGTGTGTGTGTGTGTGTGTGTGTGTGTGTACGTGTGTGTGCGCCCCCGTGTGTGTGTGTGTGTGTGTGTGTGTGTGCGCGCGTGTGTGCGCCCCTGTGTGTGTGTGTGTGTGTGTGTGTGTGTACGTGTGTGTGCGCCCCCGTGTGTGTGTGTGTGTGTGTGTGTGTGTGCGCGCGTGTGTGCGCCCCTGTGTGTGTGTGTGTGTGTGTGTGTGTGTACGTGTGTGTGCGCCCCCGTGTGTGTGTGTGTGTGTGTGTGTGTGTGCGCGCGTGTGTGCGCCCCTGTGTGTGTGTGTGTGTGTGTGTGTGTGTACGTGTGTGTGCGCCCCCGTGTGTGTGTGTGTGTGTGTGTGTGTGTGCGCGCGTGTGTGCGCCCCTGTGTGTGTGTGTGTGTGTGTGTGTGTGTACGTGTGTGTGCGCCCCCGTGTGTGTGTGTGTGTGTGTGTGTGTGTGCGCGCGTGTGTGCGCCCCTGTGTGTGTGTGTGTGTGTGTGTGTGTGTACGCATGTGTGTGCTCCCCTGTCCCGGCAAGCATGGGCAGTTCAGAGCCACGCTAGGACACTGATGACTGGAGGGACCATATAGATGGGCACTGCCATCCCCCAGAGGGAAACATTCTGAACATACAGAGCCAGCATCATTTCCCCACTGTCCCCAGAGGCTATCAGGACCATGGACCTTTTTTCCCTGCTTCTCTTGGTCTTTGCTCTGTACTAGTGACTGAGCACAGAGTGAATCTGACTCCTACCCCCATATTTTGTCATCACTGAGAACAACCTATCTGGGCACATGTCCTACTCAACCCTTAGTCTACCACTTTCTACATCTGATCACACACTCATCTCAATTCTATGTTATTTCCCCACTTCCAAGATTTTATCTGTCATTATCACCTCCAAATCCCAGAAATCCCGTCTTCTGCTGCAGCTCAGCTACTGGATTATCAAGCCCTCCAATTTCCAGGTCATCCTGCCTATTCTCTCTCCAGTTTGGCTTTATCTGTACCATCACTATTCTATAAGCACCTCTGGCTTCCTTGCTTTCTCACTATCCATTTAAGCCCTGGTAAAACCCAACATCTCTACTCGTGCCTGTAACATAGCAGCTGAAGCTTGCTGAATAAGGTCTACAAGCCCAGATGAAAGGCTTTATCACTTGACTTAACATCACCAAAGATGTCTAGTATCATTAAGCTTACTCTCTCCTACTTTATAAGTAATTTATTTAATAACTTGTCCCCTTTACACTGATGCCTTTAATTCTTGATTCACTAAGAAAAATGTGGACATACCTACCCATTTTGGTCCCTTCTCTTTGAAAGCCTCTCAAAAGCTAGCCTGGGCTCTTTGCACTTTATCTGATTCTGCAGAACCTGATAAAGTATCTCTTCCTTTTTGAAACCCTCACTTGGACTTCAGGACCTCACTCGGTGCCCCTACCTTAGGACTACTTTGTACTTGTCCCTCAAAATGAGGCTGCTCCCCCACAGGCCTTGTCCTGGGGCTGCTCCCTCCTTCCTGTACTCTATGACAAGGCTGTTGACAAGAGTCATGGTTCTAAAAATCATTTATAACCTCCATGTTGAGAGCTTCCAAGTTTACATTTCCAATCCCCAGGCCTAGAGTAGCATACCTACTACCCACTGCCTGACATTTCCATAGAATCTCAACGTTAGTATGAGCAAAACAAAACTCTTGATGTTTTCGCTCCAAACTCCCTCCTAGTTTTCCTCATTCAACACATCTATGCTGGTCTCTTCCTTCTCAAACCATTTGCTTCTATCTCATGGTAACCATACTAGTTCAAACTACCATTACCTGGCTCCTTATCACCTGCCCTCATCCACTTGACCTCTTCCACACTGATGCTGGCCTTCCTTTGAACTCATGTTAGCTCACATCATTCTTCACCAGCTTTCCATTGTACCTGGAACATAATCCAGATTTCTTCCAAAGGCTCTGAGACGTAACAAGCTCCACCCTATCTGTGCTGGCTTCATCTCATGCCACTCTCCACACAGTGCACTGAGTCCAACTGTGTTTTATGCTGCATATTCAGCCCTCAGCATGCCTGCACATATACTAGATGCTCAATATTTAATGAATGAATGACTAGAATACTCTTAAATACTTTGTTTTCTTCTATGCAATGACCGCATTTTAAAAAAAGTAAATTCAGGAATTAGTTTTTGAAAAACACTTGGAATTTTTTTAAAAAATGAGAAGGTTCAGAATTTCCTGAAATATTCAGATATTAGATATGATTATATTTCAAAATCTGTTGTTTTATTGAGGAGTTATACTTTTAAAAATAAAGTTTAGTGTTGTTACAGATGACATACCTGCGGATTCCTTTTGGTGTTTCTCCAATTATGAATATATTCTGGTCTGTACGATAGACTTTTTTCTTCTTTTGGCTTACTGGGTGTGAAATGTAAAAGGGAAATGGGATGCCTTCTTCATTTGGTGGCTGGTCTGGCTTTTTATGTATCACTGTATCCACATTTATTTTTTCCTTACATGGCTGAAAAAGGGGAAGGAAACAAGAATTAAGTATGAAAAGAACAGTTCTGGCCAAACATAAAGAATGTCTTGTGTTTTCTCAATATACTCTAAATGAGGTGGATCACATTCTCCAACTGAAATAATTCTTAGAAGATGTCAGTCTAGATCTTTAAAAAGATAAAATAGGAAAAATACATTTCTATGGTCAAGATTGTGGACATACTAATACACACGGTGACATCTACTATTCCAAGTAAGAAAATCATTAATGATTCTATACATGATGGCATAAAACGTCATGGCTAAAATTTTAAAATTCAGTAGTTGCAAATTTATTATGCATTCTTTCAGTTAATTTTACATAAGCAGAGAAACATAAAATTAACAATTTTTATGTGAGAAATAAACCATTTTTATAAGTTGTACTTTTCAATCTTTTTTGGATTATAAGAATATGTAGTGATTTTAAGATGTTAACTATAGCTAGTAAATTATAATTAGAATCAAATTGATTTTATAGCTTAGGTAATGTAAATTGTTACTATTAGTGGGTCAAGAAAAAATAATTTTAAACTATATGGTTCCAATTTCCTTGACAAATCTCAATAGGTAGAATATCTACATTCCATTCCAAACAAGAAAGATACTGAATGTATTTTTTCTCTGTACAATTTAACAATTAAACACTATATTTAAAATCAAACTCTCTAGGTACAAAAGACATATACAGGGAAGATGGGACACTGTAGAGGAGATACAGAAAGGATTTAATTTCCTCCTTTTTAAAAAACAGAAGAAGCAAAAACAAGAGCAGGTATAAAGAGGATTTCCAACATGCAAATAAAGCTAGGTAAGCCTAAACTGGGACACAGAAAGAATCACTGGGTAGATTTGAGAAAGAACCAAATAAAACTTTAACAAAGCAATGTAGTTCTGAGATATAAAAAATAGAGATAGAAAATATATGGGTTAAAAAGTAGAATAGGGCCAGGGATTTAGCTTAGAAGTTCCACTGCCTGCCTCGCAAGTGCAAGGTCCTGAGTTCAATCACCAGTACAAAAAAAAAGTAGAATAAACAACCCTACAAATGATAGGTGATAAATCAGAATAATTATTGAGGAGTTATTGTAAGGATTTTTCAAAAAGAGAAATTAAGAAAAGATAGCCAAAAATTGCTAAAATCTAGAAGGAAAGAACAGAGAAAATAGAAGAGATAATACTAATAAGAAAACAGAAATTAAAGAAGGTATGGATAATAAACAGAGAATCCCTACTGGCAAAAATGACAATAAATCTGCATTTTATTATACTGCAGAAAAAGACAGCATCTTAAAAATTATCGGAGAAAAGACAAGAAGTTTCCCACAAGGAAATGGCAAAATAACACTTCTCATTAATATCACTACTACAAGAAATTAATGGCATAATATCTTTAACACGCAGAAATAAAACTGTGAACTTGGAGTTCTATACCTAGTTACATTACCATTTAATAAATTTTCAAATATACAAAGAGTACTACCATTTATTAGACAGATACTTGTTAATGATATAATTTTCTTTTGATAGTTCAACTGGATTGAAGCAAGACACACTCAAAGAATGAAGGTAGGTAATTGTTTCTTGTTCCACAATATTTATTAAATATCTATTAAGTTGCTGTTGTCAAGCTACAAAATTTGAAGAGGACAGAAATACAAATATATTTACCTCTACAAAGAAGCTCCTACCCTAAAGGGATTTAAATGATAAGCCTATTTTAGAAAAAATATGGCACACTTAGTAGCTTTTCTTTTTTTCTTATATTCAGGTTCATTTTATTGGAAAAGACTTAAACAATAGTATACCCTTTAGTAGGAAATGATTTCTAATGAAAATAAGTTGATATTTATTTGAAAGTGAATTAAAGGCACTGTGGCTCATATGGACAATGACAGAATGCCAAGTGGCCAGGTTGAACCAGGAGCTTTGCTCCTGTCAGTAATATTGGAAATACTTTCCTTAAAGACACTATTTTTAAAAATTATGTCTTAACACATTATTAATAAAGAGAGGAAAATGTTGATCTCTAAAGGTAAATTTGAAGATCTGATGTATTTCTTTTTGTTTCCAGCTTTAATTGAGCTTATTGGTACATTTTAGGGATACAATACAGTTACATTCATTGTTGGGATCTTGTACTTCTACATGACAAGTCTTGATTCTCATTTTTCCCCTTACCCCTGCCCTCCCTTCACCCCCTCCTCCCCTCCCCATCTACAAACATTTTATTTTCATCTTTTCATTATCTCACATTTTTTCTTTTCCCTTATTACCCTTCCCCTACCCATCCCACCTTCCCTACACCTTTAGCTCCTTTTGATGTATTTCTTTATATCACAAAAAAGATGAATGCTAGAAGTTCCTAAAGGCTTATCATATTAGATGATCTCCTAAAAATACTTATTCATTATTATAAGAGAGATGAAATGCTTATATGAAGGCAAAGGGGGTAAACGCAAAGAGAAGGAGCTGGGCCAGTTAAGAGAGGCCTCCCCCCATACACTGCTTTCCAGTGAGGAACGGTGGAAGCTCCTTAACCTGTGTCTGCTGAGCCTCTAGATAGTTTCTAAGAAACAGGTGTCTAAGAGAACCCCATGGCTGTATTTTCTCTTCTTTTTTTGTACTGGGAATTGAATTCAGGTCCTTACGCTTGCGAGGCAGGCATTGGAACCACTGAGCTAAATTCCCGGCCCATGGCTGTATTTTCTACATGTGTAAGCATTTATATTTTTTTAGACACAAAAGACTTCGGCTTTTGCCATGTTCTTAAAGGTCTATGTGACCAGAAAGAATTAAGAACCCATTTCAAGTGGTAGCACCTTTTACACAATTTTCAAAAATTCTTACTGTTTGAAAAACAATGTTCATTTTAACTGATAGTTTTGGTCATCTCATTAGAAAAGTAGTTTCACAGCTTTTTACAGTAAAGTAGTACAGTCAATCTTTTACAATAGCTGATACAAAGAAAATGTCACAGTACAGGTGCAGTTACAATTTTTTATGGTAGTAAAGTACAACAACTATGACCAAGATAAAAAGATTCTAGATTATGTGAAATGGACTCAAGTTAGTTCATTATCACTTAGGTCAAAGCTGTAAAACTGACAATGAGGCAATACTGTGATGCCTCACATTGTTAAAATATAATTTATCACTTAGTAATTGCTATGTTCATGGTTATTTCCATAAATTATTGGGCACTGTTAAGTATTTCCATTACAATGTTTGTATGAAAAGATCAAATTCAACTTTTGGAATCTCTGTTAAAAATAAAAATACCTTAACAAATGTAAGAAATGGAGTAATCATTCCTAGGTAATATAAACCGCTGAATTTAAAAATCCATTTAATGATAAAATGAACTGAGTGAAAAATGCAGTTATTGACAAAGTTGAATTTATCAGAGAATACTGAAGTATATGGAGTAGTCAGCTGAAAATATAAAAATAAGGGAAAAATCCTCTCTGCAGACCATAGTAAAGTAAGTCTAAAAATGTAAAAGGAAGGCTAAGGCTAATTAGAGAGATCTTAATATCACCTGTACAATTAGAAGTTTAAATAAATTATCTTTGCAAAAGTATTAAAAATAAAATACAACATATAAATTTAATCCAACTAAAATATTAAAATATGTATCATTTCTAAAAGTAGTAACTGTTCTTATATGTCCTTGTCAAAATCATTCATGTACTACATAGATGTACTAATAAACCAAAATTTTTAAAAATAATGTTCTTTCCTATCTATGATTAAATATTTAATTTGAAAGTGGCTCACTTCAAAGACTTTATCTGCTTTGATATAATTTTGATAAACTTATCACTGTTGATTTTTCTGACATACCTGTAAAATGTTTGAATGTAATATAAAACTACTATACAAAAAGTATAATGTATACATAATGGTTTTATTGTTTTAAATTATAAAAAACACACATTAGAATTAAAATAAATAAGAGTAGTTTTGCAGGGAAAAATGTTAGAGAAATGTTTACTGTGCACTCCTTTTCTCCTTTTACTTCCCATGACTTTAAAAGTGTTTTATTCTCCTTTACATATTACATGCCCCATAGATTTTAATACACTGCACAGTCTATACACTTGAAAGTCTAGATCTAGTTTAATCCTTCCCCAGTTGAGAAAAAAGAAATTGAAAGAAAAAAGTGCACAAGTAAACATAATCTCTAAAACAACAAAAAATGAATTCACTAGACCTAAAAACCTTAATTCTGTACAACTTCTTACTGCAAAATTTTAGGTTGACATTTGCAATAGCAAGAAAGTTCCTTATCTTCATGTAGACCGATAGTATCAAACATTCAAATGACATTTGGTAACAAATACTCTTTCTTATTCATTGAGACAAAAATGCACTCTCTGGAATACAAGGCATTAGCCAAACTGCCTTACTTTCATTAAAACAATATTTATTGAAAGGCTCAGCTAAAAAAAAGATAAGTTGGGTCCGGGGGTTTAGCTCAGTGGTTCTGCGCCTGCCTCGCAAGTGAGGTTCTGAGTTTGCTCCCTGGTACCAAAAAAAGAAAGAAAAAAAGAAAAGTTACTGATTTTTAATATGAAAGGGTAAGAAAATGACTCAAAAAATTTGTGGAGAGCAATCCTTAATGTCAGTGTGTTTAAAAAAGAACAAGAAAGCAGGATTCATCCTACCTCACAGCCACTGATTATTTTAGCATTTTTCTATTTAATGGGTTATATATGAAATTTATCTCTCTCTCTTTTTTTTTTTTTGTACCAGGGATCAAACTCCTGACCTTGCACTTGCGAGGCAGGTGGCAGAACCATTGAGCTAATTCCCTGGCCCTGGACTCTTATCTTTATATGCTAGGAAACTGTACTGCAATAGTTTAAAGAGTGTTTAATGGAAACATCTCAATATTCATTGAAGTAAGAGACAGTTTTGGAAATAAATTGCTAAAGAAATGTAGAGAACACCTAGATAAGAATAGAATGGAAATGA